GAGAAGGACCTGGGAGTGCTGGTGGACAACAAGTTAAACATGAGCCAGCAGTGTGCCCTTGTGGCCAAGAAGGCCAATGGTCTCCTGGGGTGCATTAGGCAGAGTGTTGCCAGCAGGTCGAGGGAGGTGATCCTGCCCCTCTGCTCAGCCCTGGTGAGGCCTCACCTGGAGTCCTGTGTCCAGTTCTGGGCTCCCCAGTACAAGAGAGACATGGAGCTCCTGCAGCAAGTCCAGCGGAGGTCTACTGGAGCATCTCTCCTATGAGGAAAGGCTGAGAGAGCTGGGCCTGTTCAGCCTGGAGAAGAGAAGGCTGAGGGGGGAATCTCATCAGTGTGTATAGGGAAGGCGCCAAGAGGATGGGGCCAGACTCTTCTCCGTGGTGCCCAGCGACAGGACAAGAGGCAATAGGCACAAACTGAAACACAGGAAGTTCCATCTGAATATGAGGAAAACTTCTTTCCTGTGAGGGTGACAGAGCATTGGAACAGGTTGCCCAGAGAGGTTGTGGAGTCTCCTTCCCTGGAGGTATTCAAAACCCACCTGGACGTGATCCTGGGAAATATGCTCTAGAGGTCCCTGCTTGAGCAGGGAGGTTGGACTAGATGATCTGCAGAGGTCCCTTCCAACCTTGGCCATTCTGTGAATCTGTGGGGGAAAAAAAAAAAGAATTATAAACAATTCTAAGAGCTCCTGAAGACGTTAGGAAGAAGGGAGTGAGTTCCAGAACAAAAGACTTTTGAAGATTTTAAAAGAAGAGAAAAGAAATGGACTGCACAAAAGTCAGCAAATCATCTGCTGGCACCAAACTTGTTTAGCTTGAGACATCTACTGCTTATTTTGAAAGGGACAGAAACTAAGCAAGAGAGGCTGAAGCACTTCAGACAGGATATGGTGCTTGCATGGCAGCTAAAAGACGCTCCACTGTGATATGTTGCTCTGTGGTCTTGCCATAGAGGAAGAAGGGACTTCTATAACTTACAGCTGGCCAGAAAACAAACTTTGTTGCCTATCTGTCACAAAAGAAGAAAAAGCAAGAAAATATATAGGGATATAGAACCATAAAAACCATAAATGGAAAAGACCTATAAGGTCATTGTGACGCGCCACTAGAGGGGCATCCGGGATTCTTTCAGATTCCGTGGTTAGTTGCACTGAACTTGAGAGATCATCGTTTGTCAGATATAAGAATTTATTAGAGCCAAGTGGTTCTACACATATGACGGACACTGGACAACACTAAACAATTAACAGCAGACAATCTACAAGTATAACAAAGCCAAAAAGTATAGTAAAGAACTAAAAATAGAATACACATATCAGAGCTCTATGGTTAAGCCACAGAAGCACAGTACAATGACTGTTCTCGGATGCACGGTACAATGACTGCTCTCACCCTTTCCTTGTCCTTATGGGCCACCCCTCCGGTATAGTTTTCCCCAGATTGTTCTCACCACGCTCCAGCTGCGCCAAGAGGATTCAGGTTCTCCCTGGCAGTTGGCATCAGGGGTGTCCCTGCTGATGGGTGGGTTGTCGGGTCCACAGGCCAACTGACAATGAGTCCGAGTCCACACAGAGGTATGTGGCTTACTTTCTTTTATCCTTCCCGGGCTTAGTTCATTATTCAGCTAATCAATGCCAGATCACAGTTGGACAATGGAACAGATGGCCTCAGTCGATAACAGTATGGATACCAACAGGATGGTCAACAGGATGCTCAGCAGTATGGTCAACAGATAACAGTACGGAATTCCACAGTACCTAGATGCTTACGGTGTGAGTCTGCGGTGTCACTTCTCCTTTGCTGACTAGGTTTGCTCTGCACTCATGGAGTCACTGGAGGGCTATGGCAAACCCAACGTGT